CCCTTTGTCGCCTTTTGGAGGATCTCAGCTTACCTTGTATCAAAGAACTTGCGAGCATCTTCAGCAGAACGTCATAGTGGCTCGTGCTCTTCATCCACACCGTCAAGCTCTGCTTGTACAGAGCGTAGAAGCGCTACCAAATCAGGCAGCGATGCTCTACAGTCTTTGACAGCAGCAGAGATGCCAGAGCAGCCTCATCCGAAGCCACACCAAGGCATACGCGCTGGAACTCCTGCACAGCGTCACGGCCAGAGAACGTCTTTGAACCGATTTTACTGCTCTCACCTGCGTAACGCGCGCATAAACTGCTCATTGCTGCATTGCCGGCGACCGCCAATTCAGTAGACATCTCGTCGTCGCTCGGGACAGCCATTGCTGTCTCCAAGCCAGCTAACGCGCTCTAAGTCATATCCACAGTAGCACGTGATGGAACGCTTGTCTTCTCTTCACGGTGAGGAACCCGTGACAACAGCAGCTCCGTCAACCGCAGTAGTCGTACCACTTAGATCAGCACTCGTGCCTACGACATCGATGCTCGTGCCACGTATGTCAGTGCTCAGGTTACTTACAACAGTGCCCGAGTTGCTCACACCAGCACTTGCCGAATATATTCCTAATGCAGACGCACCAAACTCCACCTCAGCCGCGTTGAATGATGACAGAAGAGCAACTGACAGTTCTCGACACTCACCATGCCATGGATACACGCACAGTTCCTGGTGGTACAAGCACGTATATACGAAGCGAATGCGCTTAAGGAAGCGGTAGTACCGCACCACCACCGGATTCAGGCCATACGCGCGCGTTCTTGCCCAACTCTGTAGTGTCGTCACAAAGAGATCTGCAAACACATTCACCGACTCCAGCACCGATCGCACCAGGAACAGCATCGCGCGCTTCGCATCACCAGAACACTCAGCCTCAATCGCCAACAAAAATGAAAAATGTCCTTTCTCGCATCAAAAATCGTTCATTGGTTGCAGCCGTGTTTGCAATAGATAATCGTTTGCCTAAAAGTGGGTGCCGTTCAAGCGTCAGCAAAAGCTTGTGCAAATCCACTTCTTTTCAACGAGTGTGTCCGTGACCTATGGATTCGACTCGAGCGGAAACCAGCGCTTGGGTTTGCTCAAATCGATGCTCATAGTTGCGATAGAAGGTAAAACATCGATAACCGTGACATTGACGTGATATTCATCGGCTAATACAAAGTTAAGCATATTATGGCTACATTTCTAACAACTACAAAGTGGGACGGTATCGCCGATCAGAATTAGCCTCATTTCGCATTGTGTGCCTTTAGAACAATGTAGACGTAGCACTTGCGAGTGACATACTGGTGCTTTAGTATTAGATTGGTATCCTTGAATAAACGTCGTCGTCTTTTGGCATTGATAGATCATTGGGAGAACCATCATGGTGGATAGTAAATAAACAACAGTGTTGGTGGGGATATTATGAGTGACATGGATAAACATTCGGCACAAGTTTGAGCTTATGGAATATCTCGAGGATGAAGACCATCCATCTACATGTTGACGTTGACGGTGAAGGATCAGGTGTTGAATGCAAGTTGTAATAAGGTAGTGATCGAGTGTTCTATTGCCCGTTTGAATGAACACTCGATTGTGGTGATTATCGCATTATCGAACAAGCGCTCGTATCAGCGAGTCCCGCGTGACATGTTCCAAATCAACTCTTATTGACAAGAACGTTTGTTCTACAGCGCATCAGATCAGCAGGTCATCACGTTTTGTAGACGTATTTATATTGCTACGAAGTGGATTGGTAAGGAGAGAAATAATCTGTTGATCTAATATACATCTCCGAAAAGAGTCTTTTGTTAAATGTTGTCAATGTTCTCTTTACTTTGCTCACTTATCAATAAATACATCTACTTTTGTCTTTGTAAGACATTATGCACACATACTACGGCACTAGCGCTTGGATCAGCATAGTTTGTCACATCAAATGCTTTGAAAGTGGATGCCAAGCACAGCAGAAACACAGGCGGGAAGCAAACGCTGTGGCTGAGAAGGAGTAATGAGTCCCCATCAACCGCAACGAAGCATGACCGCGCGCAACCTCACTCAGAAACACGATAGGATCTGCAGTTGCAACGGGGGTAATGAGCCCCGATCAACTGAGCCTGCTGGCAAGTTTCGAGTAAAGTCTGCTATGCCATGACAGGAGCGAGTAATGAACGCTCTGAAAGCCCGACAACCCTCTATTGAGAGAAACTAATCGTGAGCACGCTGTATCTCGGTCTCCAAATCGTGTACCTTTATGCCCACACGAACAAGCGAGGACAGAGAGCTGCCATACCGCTTAGTCACACTACAACGAGATGAAGCTGATGGCGTGGGGTTGCGGCACGGCGTATCAAATCCATCCTGCTTGGTTAAGCTTTCAAAGTGCCGTCGGCTATGACTCTGCAATCGCACGTTGCCATCAAAGTAATCACTATCACGTGAAAGCCACGCAGACGATGTGTCATCTCGCTGCTTCACCAAGGTATTGTTGTCTCCAGAAACGACGCCCTCCTTCTTGGTGCGCTGCTTTTCATTTTGCTCCTTCTGTAGTACATCTAGGATGTTATTGGCCACATCGCGCATTGCTTCAGAAGTACGCACAGCTTCAGTGAGAAGCTGAGAGCATTTTTGGTCAACATCGTCGGCCCAACGAGATTGGTCCTCTGTGTAATCAAATCCACGCGACGCTGACTTCCAGGCATTTTGTTTACCGTATCGTCGGTGCAGCGCTTGAGATTGCGTCAAGAAGTCACCCCAGCGCTCAGATACTACGTGCATCCGGCGGACTAATGCATCCAGCTGCAAAATAGCTGTCTCGGGCATTTCCTCCTTGTCTGAAGCGTTGACTACAGGGCCACGAACAATCGGACTGTCCTTCCACCGCTTATATGTCTCCGTGATCATGTACTGGGTTTGTTTCAGCTGCTCCTTCAACGTCTGCTCCACCTCGCCAAATTCGCCACGTCGCTTCAGCTGCCGCGCGTGCTTCATCACAGCAGCTTTGTACTTTTCGATGTCCTTATCGCGGCCAGCAATGGCATCTTTGTACGTTGCAATCGCCTTCAGTAGGTCTTTATTCTCTCGAACCGCTTGCCTGTACTGATTCCGAGCATGCTTGGCAGATTTCCGGCACTCCTGAACCTCCTCAAACAGCAACCGATTACTTTCCTTCAAAGCATCAACGTCGTGTTGTGCTTCCTCACGAGAGCTTCGCTTCAGTGCCTGGATGTTGCGATTTGCTCGACCAAGCGCCTCCTCTGCCTTGGTCATCTTGGTTTGGAAATACCGAATTTCTTCTTCAAGAGATCGTCTCTCCTCTTCCTTTCGCATGCTCAGATCTTCATATCGGATCGACCATGTGCTCGAAAACCTCTTCTCGCTATCCTGAAGCTTATGCTCCATGGCCTCACGTTCCATCTGAAAGCCCGACACCTCTTGGCGCAGACGAAAGTTGTCTTCTTTCATGACCTGGAGGTCTTTCTCCAATGCCAGTAACCGCTCGTTGTCAGTCTTCAAACCATCTAGTGAACTCTTCAGCTCTTCACAGGCCGTGGTCAACTTGACATTCTCCAGACGTAACTGTTCCGTCTCACCAACAAATTGCTGTCTGTCCTCAGCAAGTCGCTCCATTTCAGCCTTCAGGCTTTCACGCTCCTGTTCGATGCTTTCGTTCACCATCGCACGCCGCGACTTCTCGATGAGCTCAGCATGTTTCAACCGGCTCTCTAACGTCTTGATCGTGAATTCATGTTCGTTATCCAGCATACGCATTTCATACAACTGCGACTCGAGCTGTTGAATAGTGCGCAGAGCCACTTGTTGATCAGCTCTAAAGCTATCGATTGCCTTGATCTGTTCTGCTGAGTCGGCCATCAGCTTTACATTCTGCAAACGTAAGCTTTCCTTCTCACCAACAAGTTGCTGCCTCATCGTTTCCATCTGCAATCGCAACTTCGTCATCTCTTCCTCTCGTTCAGTGCTCACAGCTTTCCAATGCTCGATCTCTGCTTCAAGCTTGGTCCGAAACACTTCCATCTCTTCTCGGGTTTCTTGTTCTCTCTGACGTTGACATTGTTCCATCTCGCTCTCTAGCCGTCGTTCCGCATCCTTCATTTCTTCCAACTGTGTCGTTACAGCCTGTACAACTTGGTTCTGTCGTTCCAATTGTATCTCTAGCATCTGCATCGCGTCTTGACTCGACATCTCTCTCTCGTATGCATTCTCCACTTGAGCTTGCCATTTCTCCGTCAATTTCGCTTCCATGTCACGTTGCTCTTGACGAAACTGTTGTCTCTGAGCTTGCAATTGGTCTTGCGCGTGTTTCTTTGCTTGTTTCACTTGCTCTTGTGCCTCTTTTAATCGGCTTGATAGCAAATCCATTGCTTGCGTCGCTCGTGTCATAGCAGAATCACGTCGTCGTAAGTCACGCTCTCGTTGGTCTAAACTTGACCGTAGTTGAATCACTTCCGACTCTAGTTGTTCACTTCCAAATCCAAGGCCTTGACTTGAAACGCAATAATTGTTCTTCCAAGTAGTTGATCCGTAGTGCTCGATTGAAGTTATCTATACGTAGTTGTTCCCGTTCGTTTTCTTGTTGACGTAATAGGATTTTGGCGTGGTGGTGCGTGGGTGAGGTAGGTGTACTATATCCATCACTACAATCATCTTGCATCCATGGACTGCCTTGTGGTCTTGGTGATGATGGTGGTGGTGTCTCCATTGAAGAGAGAGAAGAGAGGAAGTGGTGGAGGGGTGGTTGCAGTGACGTGATCTCGACGTGGCTTTTTCGAGAATGATCAATGTTGCTGTGGACGCCTGGTTCGAGACTTTTTGAAATTCACGCGCGTTTGAAATTTTACGCGCGTGTTTTGGATTGATTGATGGATTGACTGCTTTGGTGTTGATAAAAGACGTGGGTTGTATGATATTGATATGTCATTTGAGGACAGCTTGTTTTTGTACGTTTTTTGAATGCTTTCGTGCGGACGGCATTTAATCTCTACCATGCAAACAGGACAAGCGACAACAGTTGTTCAATGCTGACGGTGACTAAAAGAGACGTGGAGGCAGATGTTTTGGATTCGATGAGAAAAGACGTTTGGGCTCTGCTTAGCTAACGTAACATCAACATGCAACTCTAAAATGCAAAAGGATAAGAATGAGACAGCACAAACTATGTTGTGTAAAAATAGCAAGGTAGGAAGACATGGAGCGGGATCTGCTGTCGGACGATAGTATTAGCAGCATCTTGTGCGATCGTGGTATGCACTTAGCATGATGGACTGGTTTTTAAAATGTCCTGAGATTAGAAGACGTGTATTTCGTTAATTAGTCGCCAAGAAGACAATGTACATGTGACACCGTGTCAAATGAAGTAAGCAGCAAATAGGTTCTAGACTACATAAATACACGAAGATGTCGTCTTCACCATGAGAGAAGCTCGATCAGGTTAGTAGCGTAGAAACAGCAGCTTCCAATCGACATACCGATTCCCGCCTCGATGTTCAGTTTGAGACGAACATCAAGGCGGGAATCGGCCTGATTGACAAGGAGACAAATGCGTGCTGACACATGTCTCAAGAAAGTACCTAAGCAATTTGATTGGCATCAAACACGTGCAGGTTTTACAGCCATAAATGACATCAAAAACGTGGAAGTTTTGTAGCCATCAGTGACATAAAAAACGTGGAAGTTTTACAGCCATAAATGACAGCAATAAGAAGTGAGAGAGGCAAATAATCTTCTACTGGACGTAGTTAAGGTTTGCAAGATGTCTGGTAGATCCTAAGCCTGGTTAACAATGCCAGTTCCTCGGTCAAATCCAGTAGTTGTACGGGGCTAGTCACCTGCAATAACGCATCGCGAGGTTGCCGTGCTATGATGCGCTGGCATAGTAGCAGACGTGTACCGTTGATGGACGTATCTGGGCGTCAGCTCTCGCGCTTACCGATTGCACGAAGTTGTCGCATGCCGGTTTCGTAGAACTCATATAGCTGCCTCCGATGGTCAGCTTCGCCTGCTGGAACGTTGCCCGATTACTTTGTATCCATAAGCGAGCAATGCATGAACTGCACATGATGATCCATAGGTGCCGGAAACCGTCGACGTATGCGGCAGACTCGTCGTATTAAGCACGTTTGAGCTGTCCACGGGCTCCACGAATAGCTCTGGCGCTCGCCGGCTTGCACTGTTGTGGCTAGGAAGCCATGAGACGTCCAAGCTCCCGTTGTTCTCTAGTCCAGTGGTAGATGAACTTTTGCCAGCATGCTTGCGCGCATGGACACGTCCAAAACATATGCCTCCACGTCTCTTTTAGTCACCGTCAGCATTGAACAACTGTTGTCGCTTGTCCTGTTTGCATGGTAGAGATTAAATGCCGTCCGCACGAAAGCATTCAAAAAACGTACAAAAACAAGCTGTCCTCAAATGACATATCAATATCATACAACCCACGTCTTTTATCAACACCAAAGCAGTCAATCCATCAATCAATCCAAAACACGCGCGTAAAATTTCAAACGCGCGTGAATTTCAAAAAGTCTCGAACCAGGCGTCCACAGCAACATTGATCATTCTCGAAAAAGTCACGTCGAGATCACGTCACTGCAACCACCCCTCCACCACTTCCTCTCTTCTCTCTCTTCAATGGAGACACCACCACCATCATCACCAAGACCACAAGGCAGTCCATGGATGCAAGATGATTGTAGTGATGGATA